TCCTCTTCCCTCTCTGAATTTCAATCAACTCGCTCGCTAAAAATAGCTCCGCGCTGGAGCTGGGCAGGGCCGCGCGTGGGGCGTGCGGTTTTGCTTTATTTGCTAAAAAAATTCTGCCTTGGGAGGCTCTGAGTGTTTCCCGCATCGGAGATGAGGCCAGGGACAAGCGCTGCAGCGCAGCAGATGGTGCCACACTGGCCTGTGCCAGCGTCCCCCAAACCTTCCCATGCGGTCCCCAACCATCCCTGCTGTGGCTCATAGTCTCTGAAGGCTCCTCACAAGTCACCCCAAGCACCATGTCTCTTGCAGCAGCCAGGAGCAGGGAGACGCACCCCTCGCTGCCGGGCGCCCCATTTGCCAACAGCCTCTTCAGCTCCTTCCCCGGGGGGGGGGAATTTCCGGGGAATTTCTGCCCAGACCCACGCACTTGGCAGCCGAGGGGATTTGCATTTAGGGCGGAAAATCTGGCTCAGGCGCTGTGTTTGTTTAGGCGCACGAGGCCCTGCCCTGGCGCTCTCCCCAGCCGAGCGCGGCTGCGCCTCGGGGTGCTCAGCACCCCAGGTGCCCCAAAGCCACCCCAGGGCTCATGCCCGGTGGTCACCACAGCTCTAGCACTCACAAGCAACCTCCAAAACGTGATGCTGATAGCCAAAGTCTGAAGCCAGCACAGGGGCACATGGTGACCTTCCACGAGTGCCACATGCAGCTGAGTGGCCACTGGCACTGGGAAGTAGGAAGTAGGGGCAAGCAGCCCGCTCCAGGCCACAATCCTCCCTCGGCATGGCTAGTTCACTGCCATCATAACACTTGGGTTGGCCTGGGACACCCGTGCAACATCATCTCCTGGAGCACAGCCCTGAGCATGCAGCACAGGTAACGGTGGCTCTCTGTGGCTGCTCCTTGCCGAGCTGTTTCCCTCCCTCCTCGGCAGCAGGTCTGCGCCATCTCGTGGTGACAGGGACAGCGTTATGTGGTCCCCCATGCGCCCTGGGGACACCAGCATCGTGGGCCACGATGCCAAAGAGCGCTGAGGCCTCCTGAGGAATGTCGCTCCCGGGAGGGCCGTGTGTGCCCAGCGGGCTTGAGAGAAGCCCAAGGGGCCCAAGAGCAGCCGCAGCCTGCGGGGGCGGGGATGGCAGCCGTAACAAGAGGGGCAGGGGGGGGG